GAAGTCCTTCTCCTTGTAGATGTAACTTGTGATCCTTCCCCTAGACCAGACATCTCACAATGTTTGAAAAAAATATATAGAGTTGATGTGCAAGAGGTTGCAAGACAATATCTAGGAAAGGCTTCCATACAACAGAAAAGGTGCTGTAATAAACAGTAAAGGAAAGGATACACCACTGTGAGGTCTGGATGTGGCTTTGGTATATGCCAGTGGCATGGATGCAACTTGTTCTAGTTGGAAAGGATATTTCTTTGTGCTCTGACAAGTTGATCCATTAATGTACAAGTTATAGCAGTTGAGAGGCAGGTGAAAGTGCATAACACACACTGACCAACTGCATCTGTATGTTTCCAACAAATTTCTTGTGCTCTGGCTCGACCAGGAATCAAAGGAAGAGACTCACGAGTTAGAGAAGGACAAGGGCACTGTTTTATATCACCCAGGCCCAGAGGTTGAGGACATAAGAACTAAAAGTAATTATCTGGCTGTTCACATTGAACACTAGAGATATTGCTAAATCCTTTGTTAGGCTGGTTCTTAAATGTCCAGGTGCGGAGCAACCCAAAGTGGCTGTCACTAAATGTAATTAAGTAGGAAATCAACCATGAACTATGCTGTTGCAGATCAGATACCATCACTGCCTGCTACTCCAGTTGAGTCTAGCCTCAAAAGAAACTAAATTTCATATCACGACTCCACAGACATTTCCTGTAATGGTAAATGAGGAGACACCAGAATCACCAACAGGGTAACAGTTTCAACTGGTAAGGGTCCCCAATGGATGATGCACCACAGCAAGATGTCACAGTAATCAAATGTGTAAACACGTCTGGCAGTATCACTACCTGCCAAAACCTAAAAAGACCTTTCTAGAGCTAAAGTTTTCCTGGGGTTTACAGGCACCAAATCCCCATTTATGAAAGAATAATCAGAGAAAAAAGGGCTAGCTTGAAGATGTCCAGAGGTCCCATCATGACTGTAGGAAAAGATCCTGTGATTCTGAGCAAATTTGGCTAGACTCAGAAAGCCTTGGCAAGAGCCAAGGAGTTCATATGACAAACCACCACTGCCATTAGAAAATCCATGACTGACCTGGAAGCTCTCCTGATAAGGCTAAAATAAAATAAGGTGAGAGCTTACAAATCAGATTTCACTAAGTTGGATTGTAAAATAATGTATATAGGCTTCTTTATTGTAAAATTTGTGCAATCATCATCGTTGAAGAGCTTTTTAATAATGTGTTGTTTTTTCTATGTTAAAGGGTTTCTTTTATGAATACATGTACTACTGCATTTTTCCCCCTTTATTTTTCTCTTGTGGGTTTTGTCATTATTTAATTCATTTTTCTATAGTTCATCTTTTTATTGTAAATATTTGTATACTGTGTAAGTGGTTGATTTTTGCTTTGCAAGGATGGTCTTCATATTATTCCTTTTTCCATACGTACATGTAACAAGTTGTTGTACATAACTTAATTTTTTATTTCTTTGTTTGTTTTTTACAATCTTAGTGTGTCTGAATTTAATGGTTTTTAGTTTTATGTTTAATTTATTTGATTTTGTTTTCCTGTAAGATGACTAAAATTAGTTATCATTGTTTGAGGATCTTGCATTTATCACATACTACTACATTGTTCAAGGTTATTATTATAGAATCATTACCTGATAAAGGGTTTTTCTAATGTAGAACTATTAGATGGTAGTAATTTTTACTTTGTTAAGGGGATTGTTTTGTGTTTGTGAACTTATTTCTTTGATTTAGTATTTTTTAGTTTTTAAAGGGTCTGTTTTATCAAGACACACAGTAGTGTGTTGTGTGGCCAAAACAACCTGCAGGACACACTGTGTGTTATTAACAAGAGTGATAATTTAGCAATTTTCCACTTTCTGCAGCTCAAAGTGTGGTAATCCAAACTACCACACATGTTCAGTGGATGTGATATGCTGGACCCATACTTCATGTACCAAATTTCAAGGCAATCCATTAAGAAATACAAAAGATGTATAATTTCCAATTTTGATTGAATTTCTTCCTTTTTTTTTTCTTTGCACCAAAAGTATGGAACTTTATTAGATAGAAAAACATACTTAACTGTTATGTATTTTTTCAAATTTGGTACACTGATAGATCTTTGTAACTTACAATTAGGTGTCAAATTTGGTCTAAATATAAGCCACATGTGCAAAATTATTCAACCAAAAATGATCAATTTTGACCAACATTTTTGTGCGTGCCTACACAAAAAGTCACATGAGTTATTAGTCTAAAATTTTACTACAACTTCACCTAAGAGTAAAAGTGGGCAATTCTTAGTTTTTTGTCATTCAGATTAAAGACAGTTGATTTAGAGCAGCAAAACTATAGGGTGAAAGCACGTGCAGATACATAAGTAATGGTTAGGCCAAGTAGGTTAGATTAGCATTTTCTAGCTCAAGTTCTCAAAAGAATCATGCAGGTGGACAGTTATTATTCATTGCCAACTTTTCAGCACAAGTTTTCTAAATTTTATGAAATTCTCCTAATTAAAGAGCATTCAGCATTATGTAATATTACCTTAAGCAATTAGCATAAACAATGATGCTTGATAAGGCTGTACCTATTGCATGACAAGAAACTGTTAATCTAGATTCCATGGCTTTACTATAAAGAAAGTTATTAATACTGTTTTAGAGAGGAAAACTACCACTATATATTTTAAAGAATCTGGTCGATTCTGTAAAGTATAAGACTTTTCCAAATAATAGGGTTGTGATTCTAAAATTAATGTTGGTTACTATTGGGTGTCACTTTCTTACTTGCTGAGGTTTTTTTGGTGTATATATTTACAAAAAGTCATGGTATCTAATCAAAAACACCTTACATGTGGAGAAAAGATGTATCCAAACTGGTAACTACACTTATAGCATTGATATGAAATTCACAGCAAATATTCATTCATTAGTTAGCTAGGCCTTGTATTTTGTTTTACCCACCATCGTGCCCCAAGTTGAACAAAAAACATGGCCTGGCTAACTAGTGACTGAATATTCGCTGCAAAATTCTTATCAATGCTATAAGTGTAGCTACCAGTTTGTTTCATTCCTTTAAGTCACAAGCTCAATCCTTTTTTGGCCACACCTTTTTGTTTTTGATTAAATTATATGTAACATTGATGTCAGTAATAATATTTTCTTTATTGTGACATAATTATTGCTTATTTTTTTTATGTTAAAGGGTTATGTTGGTATTTTTTATTGATGTGCTTTAGTAGATAGTATTCTAATCAAAATGTTTTGTATTTCAAGGCTGCTATATTATCTATGTTGAAGGATATTGTTATATAATGATTAACAATGTTAGTCAGTCTGTTAAACTTTTTTTTTCATTATTATGTAGCAAGTTTCTTTATCTTATTCTTAACATGCTTCATTCATAATCAGTCTTTGTTAAAGGGTATCTTTATGTAAATGCTGAATTTCTTTGTGGTTGTGCTGTCTGTGTCACATGTCAATGTTTTTACAGGGGTGAGAGAAAGTTATGCTGCTCCTTGATCAACAGGTGTTTTATAAGTATTATTGGCTTTAAAGTTAGATTAATGTCAGCTTGAGGAGAAACTTGTAGTAAAGGGGAAAGGAGAATTGTGGTATATAAACATACCATGTTTTTTTTACCTCTATATTATTTTGGAATTTTTCAGAATTTATTATTTGTGTAGGTATGTATTTTACATTGACATGTTGAATCAACAGGTCATTAAATTCCTTTTGCTATAGCTATCTATTGTTCTATGTCATTCACCTCAAGTAGAACCTTTTGTCACTCCTTAAAATAAATAGCTGCAAGGTCACTGGTAATATGGGAAGTTAGAAATTATTTTTTCTACAGGCAGTCAGGTGATCTCTTGAGGTAATGACTTCTTATGTTTTATTGGGAATCACCAGTCACATGGTAATACTAGTCATTCTGGGTATTTATTTCATTAACATGTTAATTGAGTAAAGTGAGATTTATTCAGTCTTGAACAGGATATCAGTAGAATTAGTCTTGCTTATATTCTAATATGAACATGTTATAACAATTTCAGACCTAACTCTTCAGTAAAGATGACTACCTATTGTAACAAGTAAAGTATATTTTTTCACTGCATTTAAACCCCGGGTAGCTAGGGGTCAGAAGGCATGTCATCAAAGAAAAAATTCACGAGCAGATCTTTAATAAAGATACCATAATACTTAATTTTAAAACCTGATATTTTGTGTATGAAAGTTTTGTAATGTTTACTAATAATCTGCAAAATGTTGTAAAGATTCACGTACATTATCACATTATCAAAAATTATAGTAAAAGTACTACAAGCTGGGTGGATTCCACCCAGCTCATATTTGTAGGGTTAAGTAAAGATTATTTATTGTGATTATACACTTGTATTTAGTCTCTCTATTTCTCACAAACTCAGTTAGATGAAGGATAAAGAAGTATTTTGCAGTAAATATCTTGATAAATATCCTATTATTCAGTGGACCTATTTTTGTCACTTTTTGAGGAATTCAGTGATGTCTGAAAATACCACTAAGGGTCAGCCAACTTTTAGAAATGAGCTCTTTTGTGTGATAAAGAATTTGTTTGTTGAATCTTCATGTGCTTAAGTAATGAACAATGTATATCACAGTGAAAAAAAATTGGAGTATTAATTCGTTATTTATTCTATCCCATTCTGGCACCCCATAAATTCTAAATTTTTATAGCACTAGAAGATATGAGGAGTACATTAAGACCTTACAAAACATAAAAAATGGAGTGTAGCAATCTGGTACATGTATTATCTTTGGATTAATTTTAACACCATAAATCTTAGGAATACTACTGATTAAACCTGAAAAAGTTTGCCTTCTAGAAAAATGTACATATTGTGAATACATTTTATAGACAATTCTGAATTGATTAAAACATATCAAGAAATATTTTACAGTAACTTATACTATACCAAAATATTTATACCGTAATGTTTTCTTATTTCTCAGACAATGTGAAGATAATAATTCTGCAGATGAGCCTCAGCCATCAGGCAGTGTGTTGAATAACAAAAGTACTAATTCTGTACTCTGCCTTGCTCAGTCATGTACAGTTGAAGTGACCAAAGTTTGTACAGCTGATAAACTGTGTGGTGCTTCCTGCTCTTCCATGGAGCATATAAAGAATAAAGAGGATGAAGACAATCTTTTGTCAGATGATGACTTGAATTCTTCAGCAAGTGAGGATGACTTTGGTGATGATCAGGATGAATTTTATGAAGGATTTGAGGACAGCCTTCAAGATACGTTAATGACAGAAGAAACAGTGAAAACCCTTTCTAGCAGAACAGAAGATATCACCAGTGTTCCTTTGTCTGACAAAGCTGTGGTAAGCAGAAACCATTAAAATGTTTCTTTTATATTATAATTGTTAGTGGAATATGCACTTCATATAATTTTTCAAGTAAAAATTTTGTTTCTCTTAGAAAAACTAAGTGTTAATTCATCAGTATAGATACCTGTTAAAATTGTATTAAACAGAAAATAGTTACATGTTATGTTCTGTAGTTCTCTGGTAATGGTAAAATATTTATAAGTGTAACATTTATTAAAAGTTGAATTCCATGAAATAAAATGGAAAGATGATTGTAAATTATTTCTTATAAAACTCTTGTGTTAAGTAAAATTTAGCAAATCTTTAAATAAGATGATAAAAATAAAGTGACTGTGGCAGCACAGCTTACATCTCGTGATTTTCCTTCTTAATTATATTCTGTCTCTTACTCTGTGGAACACATAGTATGTTTATAGCCTCAATAAAACTGAGTAGCTTTTCCAAGTTTTCATAACTATGACAGTGTTTAATGTGTAGACTCATTCATTGTTCATTAAGTTTGCCATAGTTAGTCTAATTAAGTTTGTTTTTTATCTTGGTCAGGTGGACGTGTTTAAAAATAGATTTTTCTCTTATTATGTTTTTTTCTAGTTTTCACAGATTTACAAGTTTGTCTATCTTTATTTATGTATTTAGACTCAATAGCCAGTTATTTGTGGTAAATCTAAAATTGTGCTCAAAATCAGTCTTAGTTCTTGATTTTATAAATGACTTAAATGTACATAATTGTACCAAATGTATATTAGAAAGCTTGTGTGCAGGTGTTAAAAACTTTGATACAAGTTTCCTTCTTGTGTTTAAAACCCCCTGTTTTCTTTTTCTCTTTCTCACTTAATTGATTGATTTACCAATAGTAAATACTACTAATACCCAGATCTAATTCACAGTGCTATTTTCATATATGTTAATTTTCTTATTTAGTTTATTACTAGCTTATGGGATATGATAATTTCTGTGTGTATGTGGAGAACATTAAATTTTTTGAGGTAAATATTGGAATTTATTTTATAGGAAATGGTAAATAGTAGTTGAAGCAATGAACAATTAATGGTTAAAATCATAACTGAACTAGAAAGATTTTTAAAGGGTCTACATATGTAATCTCTTTCATTGCTATTTCCAACCATCTTTCATAATTTAAATTGATTTTGGTAAGTTGAGAGCATTTTGTGTCTTTTACGTAGTTTTTTACCCTTTCCACCTTAATCATATCAGTATACAAATTTTGATTTCAGAGTTTTTACATAGCAGTAAGACTTTAGTGTGTTTAATATTTTGAGAAATTACTTTTAAAAGGTGTGTAAAAGTTAAAGTGCCAGCACTGAAGACACACTTGCACAAGCTCATTTTTCTAGAATTGATGTGATATAATAGTAGAAAAGATGCTAATTTGACATGGTGTTGCAATCAATGAAAATCTTGTTGAAATGAAATCTAATAGCCATAGTTGAGGATTTATATTTACATTGCATCTTTTTTATTTCTTTTTATGAGCTGAAGGTACAATACCAAAAAATGTTGTTTGTAGAAGTCTGGAAAACTGTATCTTGTAGATCCATATGGCAGAGATTGGGAACAAATGAGAGTATCCGATAGCAGAGAACAATCATCAAACTTTTCTTTTACTCCTAGACAGGATGTGACTTAGTATTTATCATGCTGGACCATGAATATGTAGGTTCATGGTTTACTTCCTGTTGACAAATATTGCAATCTGCATTTTTGAGCTGTGGATGTGTTATAAGCCTGTTAAGGAAAGCTAGTGCATATAACCTTTGTGCAACTTTGAGCAAATGTACAGAACAAACAAATGATAAAAGTGTTGACAAACAGCTCTCTTCAAAAGTTCCTGCCTAATGCAGTTTTTTGAAGCTCATATATTGTGCGTGCATAGTCTTGTTGATGCAAAGGTGTTTTTCCTTTTCATTTCATTTTCAAAATTTTTCACATCTTTAGTGAGTGGAAACTTGTGCTGTTCAAGGCTCATGCTGAACTTTTTTTTTTCAGGGATCCAGCCAGGCCCCTAAAACATGCATTTTTAGAGGCTAGTCCTATAGCTCATTATAAAGTGTACTCTATAGTGAGGCTTGAGCAGATCCACAGAGGATCTGCCCCCTTCACCAGAATTCCAATATTTCAATTCCTGTCTTTGGTTTCATCTGATGGTTCAAATTGCACACAAATGTTCCAATTTCAAATATAATAGAAATGGTGGAAAAATACTTGTTGATTTTAATATGCCTGTGAGGCAATCTTGATAGTAGTATGTGGACTACCCCTATTCTTAAATTTCTGGATCAACCGCTGGGAGGTTATCAGAAAAATCATTGAATTAAACATTGTATGTTATGTAAATTGAAAGGAAACTAAAGATATCAACATATCTCAATTTATTTTGTTGTGAACTCATATTTCATGAAAAAAAAAACCTTTTCATTTTTTTTTTCAGACTACTTAAATGATTTTTATTTCATATATGATCTTTAATTTCTGTACAAAGCATGGTATAACAATAACTTTTTGTTCACATTTAAAGTAGTGTCCTTTTTTAATCAAAATAAATAATGAAAGAAAATCTATACATCACTGTCAGTGTAATCTAGACCTCAATGAATCCCAGGCACCAGATTGCCATGGTAACTAAAAATTTCATCATGGTGCCTAGTATTTTCTCCCATTTTATTTGTGCATATGGATGAGCTCAATAAAACTCTATTCTAGAACACTTCTGGACTTTTGGAACCATTTTTACATTTTTTTGAGTCTGAAATCAAACTTTGTTTCTAGTATTTTAATGGTGTATTCAACACTTTTTGTATTTTCAGGAATGAAATGCTACAGTTGCACAACTCATTACTAATTTCACACCATTTTGTTTTTCTTCTTTTTAGACTCGGACAGGACCAAAAGCAGTTAGTTCAAGCAATAGTATCAAATGGTTCTTTATTTGATATCATGTGATCATTAACATGCACTTGTTGCTGTGAAAATAAATAAATATAGCTCCCATTTTCCAGTACAAACAATGGGGAAGTTTAGGTTAGGCACACCAAAAGGCTTTTGCTTATCATTGTACAGTGTTGTAGTGATGAATAGATTAGACCTATTCTGAAACAACCTGCTTGGCCTATCGATATTACTGTGATTACTTTTATTTTACTTTCATTCCTTGCAAGAATCCCCCTAACTTATAAATATTTAGTCTACAATTTGAATAATTGCACATATTCAAGTTAATTTTAATATATGTTATATAGTAAAGTATCATAATGAACCCTTTGTTCTTTAGTGTAAAACTGTATGTCTTGTACCATAACCACACAACAGACTCAAAATATATTCCATAACTTTTCTCTATTGAACTTGGCTCCTAAGTTTTTGGACTTGCTTCTAGATCTGAAAATATATCATAAGTGTCGTAATCTTGTTTATAATTGATTGCTAGATCTGAAAATATTTGTCAAGGCCTGGTGCAATCTATTCTTGAACTCGTATAAGCCATTACCATCTAGCTCACACATATTTGTCAATAAAATGTCAAACACTTTTGTATTAATGGAAAAATCATACTATTTACATTACCACTAACTTTATAACTATCAGCTCTTTCATATTCTGAAACAGCTATTAATTAGTCATTCATAAATTTTAATTTGTAGTAAGCAAAATCCTCAAATTAGCAACATATGGAAACATGCAAACAGCTCTAAAATGGCTTAGGTGCTGATTAGTTAAACTTAAATTAGTGTCCTTTGTTAATCAAAATAATAATAATCTAAATAAATATGTAATGTATAATAATTGAAATGTGACTGTATTCTACAAAATGCTAGTCCACTAAAACACAGCCAAGACAGGTCACTTTGCAAAGACTAAAGGTCAGTTTTATATTATTGGATACAGTAACACGAGTGCACATGCGCCACATCAATTGTAACTTGTGTATTGTTAGCCTGGCACAGCTGAAAGGCCAATACAATAAATATATATATAAATGTATAATGTTGAGATTTAAGCTTTTTAGTCTAAACATTTATGCTTTTGTCTTATAATTTGTAGTCATTCTAGGCATAATTTATATTTATTTCATAATTTTGTATGGTGGTTACGAGATTGGTAAAATATCAACTGAACCTGTATAGATATTCGTTAGTGAAAATAACAGATAAAATTTAAAGTTATTTCTTAAGAAACATTTGATAACTATCTGGACATAATAAGTATTTTGCATGTGAAGTTTGTAAATTTTCTGATGCATATAAGTATTTTTAATCTTAAAATGAAAATTACTTTGCATGTTGTATAGGCAACATCAAATCGAGAAAAAGGCGTGAGAAAAACATTGCTTTAGAAAAAAAATAAGAAATATCTTATTTTTCAAAAACTACATACAAATAGGATTTTTCATCTCAAATTTAAAATAATTTCATCCACTACTTTAATTTTTGTAAAGAACTTTCAGGAGAGTTGCATACCTACTTACAATGTAAGTAGGTCATAGTCATAGAATTAATGTAACTCAAATTTGGCCATAGTGCAGAATTTATGGAAATTCCAATATTTTGGAGTTTTAAATTTTTGTAATGAAAACATGCCTCTTAAAATATGAACCAAAAAAATTACTATCACCACAGGCCAAAAATACCTGAAAAGCATCAGAATTTTTCATCACTGAAAGACCAATACTCTCACTGGAAATATTAGATTTAATCTCTGGATTCTAAAGTTATTTTTTTCCCATCATGCAATTTATTTTTTTAATAACTGCATAATTCAAATGTTAAATTTTTACACACAAAATGACTAGCAAACATACTAATCCAATTACACAGGCCTGCGATGGTTTTTATTGTCTTGAAATTTTTCATGTTCTACAGTAATTCCTGTACGCTGAATCTGAAAATATCTATTTTTCTCCATCACGTGCAGGTTTTTCACAGAACGTCATATGTACTTTTTCATTGAAATCAGGTCACATTTTGTTATGCTTAAAATGTTGACAACGACTAGCTATATATTTCTCTAGGCCAATCATGACGTGAGAGTCTTATCGATCATTCTAGAACCCATCAGAAACACACTACTAGTATTATATAAAGTGTTAACAGGCTTCATGATATTATTTATTCTTTTTAGTATTATTTATTCATCACTATGGGAACAAGAGGTTGTGTAAATGACCCAAACATATTCTGTTATATTTGTGATAAATATGTTATAAAGAAACAATGGCAAAACATTACAGAAATTGTCAAAAAAGCATATTATGCTTATTTTGGAATAAAACTTGGGGACTAAGACAAATTATGGGCTCCACACAAAGTTTGCACCATTTGTGTCGAAGAGTTAAGACAATGGACTAAAGGTAAGAAAAAGTCTTTGCCTTTTGGAATTCCAATGGTCTGGCATGAGCCTAGAAACCATGAAGATGACTGCTGTTTTTACTCGTGTAACTTGCAATGCTACAACACACTAAATAAAAAGGGAATTGTTTATCCGATCCTTCATTCTGCTATAAGACCTATTGCTCAAGGACCTGATGTACCTGTACCTACTACACCGGAGACTAGTATTACAGTTTCATCTTATTCTCGTGTCAGTAGAAATGATAGGGATTGTTTTCAGCCTGAAATGTATGGTGAACCACAACTTTTCACACAAGGTGAACTTAATGATTTGGTAAGAGATTTGGGCCTTCCAATGGATTCTTCAGAGAATTTGGGGTCTAGACTTTGGACTAAGAACTTACTTTATCCAGGGCATCATTTTACTGGTACAGAAATCTAGAAAAAGTTTATACCATTCTTTTCACAAGAAGGTTCACTGGTTTATTGCAACAACATTGCTGAATAATACCAATGCTAGGAGCTACAGTCTATAAACCAAGTGAGTAGCAATTGTTCATTGATTTCTCCAAAAGAATTCTAAAGGGTGTTCTCCTTCACAATGGTAACATATATGCATCTGTTACTATTGCTCATTCTGTTCACTTGAAGGAAACATACACAATGGTAACATATATGCATCTGTAACTATTGCTCATTCGGTTCACTTGAAGGAAACATACAAACTTCTTAATAAGGTCAAATACAAAACAGGTTTGGCTACGTTGTATAGTTAAAAGTCTTTGTATATTGTTGAGCTAGCGGACACAAAATCAGCACTGGATAAAGAAGCAGTGGCCATGCATAGTCAACCTGATACCAGGATAAAAAAAAACATAAAATGTGAAAGTTTGTTTGACACAAAGAAAGTCCTATTACCTCCATTTCACATAAAACTGGGCTTGATGAAGCAGTTTGTAAAGGCCTTATACAAAGATGGCAACTGTTTCAAGTATCTATGTGGGCAATTACCAGCTCTTTCAGAAGCAACACTTAAAGAAGAGATTTTTGTTGGGCCTCAGATCAGGTTTTGGTAGCCATACCAAAACCATATATCGCAGTTTCAGCAGAAAGCATGCAATTGTAGCTACCTTTCTAGATGTCCAAAAAGCCTTTGATTTGGTATTGCACAATGAACTTTGCTATAAGCTAATTGATAGTCATGTACCCACCCCTATTGTACACTGGATATCCAGCTTTCTTACCAAAAAAAAACAGCTAAAATTAAGATCAACAGTGCAGTCTCCAGGCCCTTTTTGTTCAAAGCCAATGTCTTCCAAGAGTCAGTGTTAAGCCCAGCATTATACAACCTCTTTGTCTAATAATGGTTGGAGACGGCTTAAAAGGATAATGAAGAAAAACTTAACCTTGTCGAAACGTTGTACATTTGCTGTTATGTTAAACTTATATTAAAGTTTTTCTTCATAACCCATTCAAGCCGTCTCCAACCATTATTAGTCTCAAAGTGGGTTCCTCGTCATCAAACCTCTTTGTCTTTTTACTTGATCTGTATACATAATACATACAAATACACACAACAGACACACATGTACACTCTGCTTGTTAGGCATTATAGGCTACACATGCTGTATACATTGTACAACAGTGCAGGTAACACACATCTTGTGGATTGTACATGACTGATGAATGTTTGTAAATTTGAGAAGGACTATTCATGGTTTGTCACACATTCTGCTCAGTTAAGAAATGCTCAAATTAGTTTATGTGGAGTCAAACTTTTAATGGCTCTTTTGATTTAAGGGGCCATGTGGGCTACCTCAGAGAGACTTTTTACAGGACCAGCAGCATTTTGGGGTGTCATTGGCTTCTGGGACCCTGCTGTTATATTTTTCAATGAGTGAATAAACATGCCAATAGGCAGTGACAAACTAGTGGATTTAGTCCTAATATAACTCAATGATCAAAACATGAACTTGTGATATTCATTAAGTTAACATGAATTAAATTTGTGTGAAATTTTCAACCATGACTTAAAAATTTGTAATTTACTTTAAAAAATGATGGTTTAAATCAGCCCTCAACAAATCCCAGGTGCCAGATTTCCATGGCCTCTAAACATTTCATTGTGGCACCTAGTATTTTCTCCCATTTTATTCATGTGTAGGGCTGTGCTTGATAGAACTTGAATCTAGAACAATTCTGGACTCTTGGAAGCCCAGAACAATTTCTGCATTCTCTGAGTCCTAAATTGAACTTTGTTTCTAGGATTTTAACCTTTTCGTGGCTTGGCTCATGCAACATGCAGAAATCAAGTTGTGTATTTCACTTGTACAACAATACATATGGTAACTCTAGCATTTCTTAACGTATCCTCTCAAAAACTGGTAAGATTTGTTAAATATCATAAGTATCTTGTACACAAATAATGATGGTTTTATAATTAAGTGATTAACTAAAAATGTTATTTTTCTGTTGTACTTACTTGCCTTCAAACTATTAACAAAGCAAGTGCAAGATGATTTAAATTTTAAGCATAAAAATACTTTTCTTCATCTTATAGTTTTCATATAGCATTTGCATAATCTCTAAAGCCTCCTAAAAGGATATCAAAAGTTTTCTTTTACAGTAATGGTTTATATTTTATTTTTTCTACCATATGACTAACTCTAGCTATTAACATAAACGTACAATCAAATGAAATGATTAAAATCAGGAAAAAAAAAAATACATACATTTTGGTTTTTTATAGAATATCTTTCAAGATGTTTTGCTTATATTTTTAATTTTGAGTATTTTCTTTTTCATGTGTAGTTACTTTTTAATGTTCTATTTGCCATTCTTGTCCTTTACCACTTATTATTCATCTTGACACAAGACAGCATTCAGCATGTAATATCTTAAAGCTTGAGTATGGATGCAAAGTATGAGGTATATTTAAAAAAGGTTTAAGCCTTTTAATTATGCATTTTAAAACATAACTAATACATAATTAATTAAAATATAATAATAAGACCTAAGTACAATTTAAACTGTAAGTGCTATAGTCAGTCAAACAGCCAACCATACTATAGTCAATTTCATGTACTCCATGATGACAATTTGGGGCCAATTTTCAAAATAACCATTACAAGATTATACTGTAAAATGAGTTTTTTCTAATGGTTATACCCATGTGTATGTAGCAGTCTACATGAAGGCTATAAAGCTCAAACAAATCTGTTGAAGGTGGGCTTGGTATCTGTTAGGAGTTGAAAAAAATTATTATTTCAACTGTATTCATTCAGAGAACTTTGAAATGAAAGAGCCAAAAGGTTATCTAAGCATCTCTTTGTCTAGATGTACCTCTACTGCCATTGTATTATTGAAGATACAGTAGCAAAGTAGAGAATTTTCATAGCTCTTTGGTCACAAGACAATACATCTGAAATTTGAAGTTTTTTTAAAGGTTTATTTTGAAATAAAGGACTTAAAACTTGGATAAAATAAAACTTCGAATCATCACACACATTATATTATTAAATTCATTTACATACATTGCTATTAAAGGGGTTTAATTAATTAAATTTTGAATGTAAACAGTGACTTGTGCAGAAAAGCATTTAAAGGGGCTCCCGTTGTGAAAGGTTTAATGGTGGAATCAGCACTTCTTTATGTTTTTTTACGAATGAAATTCTATGGTTGCACAACTCATTATTAATTTCTCACCATTTTGTTTTTCGTCTTTCTTTCAATTTAACCAATCAGTTCATTTGTTTAGATTCATATGGGACCAAAAGCAGTTAGTTAAGGCAATATTATGAAGTGGTTGTTGATATCATGTGATCGTTAACGTGCATTTGTTGCTGTGAAAATAAATAAATATACCTAGCCCCCATTTTCCAGTACAAACAGTAATGAAGTTAAGTTAGGCACACCTGGCTCCTGAATCTGAAAATATTTGTTGAGGCCTGCCTTAAATGGCAATAAGACTGATAATAATTTCAATCACATTATTCTCCAATCAAGTTTTATTGTGAATATTATGTTCATTACCCAATAAAGAATTGTAACTTGCCAGTTTGGACACACACACCACAAGACTTGATGTGTTGTAAAGGAATGTTATACTTTGTCTCCAAGTTAATATGTAAGGCTATCTCATAATTAGCAATAAATAGGTGTATAACTATAGGAATTTTGTATCAGAAGTTTGATTACTTATTTTTGTGTCTATTTGTGATATGAGTAGCATATGAAGAGAAAGTCTGAAGGAACCCCTGATAGTACAGATTACTTTCCTGGAAAGAAACACTGTAGAACAACAGATGGATCAAGGTAAAATACAATTATAGTTTAATTCACTCAGAAAAAAAAGGATATAGATTGAGTAGAATTAGTACAGATATTCCTTTTTATATTGGTTTGTATCAAAGCATTTCACTGCTTCAATATCAAAAGAAAAAAGCTTGAATTTTTTATTATTAATTACCATATTTTTGGAATATAAGACGCACCCTTATTTTGAAGACAAAGTTTTTGGGGAAAAAAGCTATAGTCACATTTGAAAGATTTTTATTAAACAAAAATTCAATTTGATACTTTAAAAATTAGTATATATTGTTCTAAACACAATATATACTCAAAACATCAAAATAAGAAAGTACCGTAAATCAAAAAAAGGTTTACTGTTATTTAATTTGGTTCAAAACCTACAAAATCTTCATTGCTTTCACTGTAATATATTATTAAATTATTTAGGGGGCATTATAAATAGTTATGTTTTTAAAAGAAAAAAAAAATTACTATTGAACGAAAACAGTCTTCAGGTATTTCTAAACTCCTACGCCCAACGCGACAAAGAAGCATATTTTAGGAATTCT